ATCTATCTATCTATCTATCTATCTATCCTCACTACACCCCTCTATCTATCTATCCCCATACACCCCTCTATCTATCTATCTATCTATCTATCTATCTATCTATCTATCTATCTATCTATCCCCATATACCCCATCTATCTATCTATCTATCTATCTAACTATCCCCATACACCCCATCTATCTATCTATCTATCTATCCATCCCCATACACCCCATCTATCTAATCTAATCTATCTATCTATCCCCAAATACCCCATCTATCTATCTATCCTCATACACCCCCTCTATCTATCTATCCCCATACACCCCCTCTACCTAATCTATCTATCTATCTATCCCCATACACCCCTCTATCTATCTATCTATCTATCCTCATACACTCCATCTATCTATCTATCCCCATATACCCTATCTATCCTCATACACCCCCTCTATCTATCTATCTATCTATCTATCTATCTATCTATCTATCTATCTATCTATCTATCTATCTATCCGCATACACCCCCTCTATTTATCTATCTATCCCCATACACCCCATCTAATCTAATCTATCTATCTATCTATCACCGTAGTATGTCACCGCCTGGTACCGCAGCAATGGGTCTGATTGCAATCTATCAGTGTATCTATAATGCCCACCTCACCCCATCCCAAGCAATTGCCTTACCCCTAACAGGATGACATCCTCAATCTCTGAAGTTCCTCTGGCTTTTCTCTGCTTGCAGGACGAAGCCCGAATAATCCCAGCCCTGAGGATCCGGTTGGCTCATTCGTTCATTGACGGGGAAGAAAGTTTCCCCCTGTGCGCTCAGACTCCTGTACTGATGGACGGGCCCGGGGAGGGGAGGGATCCTGTCATTGGGGCCCAGACATGCGGAGGTGCAAACGGGCTGCTACACATTTATATGGACACACCTTGAACCATGCGGCCCATACACTATATATACACGCACCCAAGCTAGCATGCTGCCTCCCACTCCAGGCTTCCTATTGGCCACACCAGTGCTCCCCCTCATAAATATTAAAAGCAGCAGAGGGGATCCCATTGGCTGGGAGGGAAGTTAAAGCCCCCCTGGGAGGGGAGGGGAGGAAGGGTTGGATGTGGTCCGGCAGGGGGGAAGGAGGTAGTGGGGTGGGAGGGAGAAGGAGACATCTGTTCACCATGCATATTTCATAAAGGAGAAATAGAGAGACTGGGGGGGGGGGGGGGGAGGGTGTGACAAGGGGAGAGAGAGAGAGAAACAAACAGAGACCTCTCCTCTGCGTGGGGGTGGGACAGAGGGGACAGTGCTTGGAACAGAAACTGAATGGATAATGCTGCGTTCACAGAGACTGGCCACCCCGCAGAACCTGGGCTGACCGTTGGTGCGAAGCACAGAGCGGGCCTTTGTGCATATGTGTGCGTGTGTGTTTGTGCATATGCTTGTGTGTGTGTGCCTGAGTTTGTGTGTGTGCACGTGAGTTTGTACGTGGTTGTGTTTTGTGTGTGTGTGTGTGTGTGTGAGAGGCAGGCACGTATGTTGTGTGTGTGAGAGGCAGGTACGTATGTTGATGCCTCACACACAACTCAAAGGACCTAGCATCAGTGGAACCTTCCCTTCTATGGATTGATTTGAAAGCACCTGTATAGATTTTAAAAGTTTGATGGGATAAGAAAGCCAGCCAGCCAGCCATCCCTAACATCCAAATATCCACGACGTGTTCACAAGCACTTTAACAACACACTAGAATATTTTTGGTGGTTAGATTAAGCCGCGTCCTCCCTGCCAGGCGGCCCGTCCCCTCCTCTTTCAGATCCCTCCTTTAAAATCTCATTTTAAATCCTTCCGACTTTGCTCTCAATACCAATAATCTCTCCACAAACTCCCTTCCCTGGACCATCTACCTAGCTAGTCCCATATCATCCATCTAATCTAATATCTATCTATTAATCTAATATCTATCTATCTATCCCCATATACCCCATCTATCTATCTACATATACCCCCTCTATCTATCTATCCCCATACACCCCCTCTATCTATCTATCTATCCGCATCCACCCCCTCTATCTATCTATCTATCTATCCGCATCCACCCCCTCTATCTATCTATCCCCATACACCCCCTCTATCTAATCGCTCCCCAGTTTGCTGACTGGGAAGATCCCTCCTTTCCCCATCCCATCTCTTATTTCCCCTTTTCCCCCATTAGTGTCTGGGGTTTCCTTTCTATTCCGTCCCCCTTTCCAGTCCCCACTCAGTGCACCCAGGAGCTGGTTTCTCCTTGCTGCAGCGGCAGGAGGTGCCCAGGTGATGGGCACACACACCTGGGCAAGCTCCAGCCCGGGGCCCCATCTTAGCAGATGGTCTCGGAGTTTGCAGGGAGAGGAGGGGAGGGCGGGGGAGGGATCAGGTGGCGGCGAGGAGCTTGCATCACCATTGCTATGGCACTGATTAAAAAACAATATCTGCCTAATGAGCTCGTGGCAATAGCAGCATCCACCCTGAAATTAACCCACACGTAGATACATGTGTGCACATCACACACAAACACACACACACACACACACACACACCCTGTGCCCAGCTCTCTCTCTCACATACACATGCACTCACACAAACGCATCACCCCCTGTAACCATCACACACACACAAACATCACACCCATAAACATCACAGACACACGTAAGCACCACAGACGCTCAACACCACCACACGCTACACCCATGACACACCCAGTGCTTAAGTTGGGCCAGGGCTCACCAGGACTGAGCCCCGGCACCTCTGGACCTGGCAGTTCAGAGCCCGGCACCGCTGGGTTTGCTGCATCTGTTATGAATGTAAAAAAATTGCTTGAACCGCGGCACCTCTTTTATTACAAATTAAGCACTGCCATCACCCCGCAGGTCCATCACACACACACACTTCTCATGACCCACACCCACACCACATGCCCATCACACCCACCCGCACTCTCTGCCTGCTGCTGCCCGCACTCCCCTCTCCCCATGGGGTGACTGATGGGCCACATACATATTTATTTATTTCTCTCTCTGCACACTCCCTGCCCCTCCTGTTTGTGTCTCTCTTCCACCCCCAGGGGCCAGCGCCTCTACCCCTGCCAGGATGCCAGCCGGGCCCTACCTAGCTCTGCAGCTGATGGTGGGATGGTCTCTGGGCATCTTGCCCGGGCCCTGGGAGGAGGGGATGCAGGCAGCTAGTCCGGGATCTCATGCCTGCTCTGTTCTCGGCTTCCTGATAGCCCCAGCTCAGTATCTGGGTCTCTCTGCTTTGTGTTTTCTTCGGTGACTGCTTCCTCCAGGCCTTAGACAAACGTCCTGTGTAGCCGCGACCCAGTGCCCCCCGAAATCTCAGCCCCCAGAGCAGGCCGCCCAGAGGATTCAGGGGGCCTGGGGCAAAGCAATTTTGGGAGCCCCTTCCATAAAAAAAGTTGCAATACTATAGAATACTATATTCTCATGGGGGCCCCTGCAGGGCTCTGGGGCAAATTGCCCCACTTGCGCCCCCCCGGGCGGCCCTGCCCCAGAGCAAGGCCCCTGGGCTACCTAGCCACACTGCACTGTGTTGTCAGCCATGCAGCCCTTCGCTTCTCTCCGAACTTCCAGCCAGGGCTGGAAATCCCCGGGGAGGGTGTCAGATAATGGGGGTGGGGGGAGTGTCAGCCGATAATTATTTAATGACAGCGGCTGCTGAGATCTAAGAAGTTCAAGCTCTCTAGAACCGTTAAAAGACAAATTGTTAACATCACATCTCAAAAGATACAAAGGCAGCCGCCTCAGAGGAGACCCTCCTAAGTTCTCAGGCAGCGTTTTTCTTACTTTGCCTCGCTGTAAATCTCAACCATTATCGAGGGAAATATTTTCCCGCCGGTTCGGGCGCGCAGCGAAATCGACGTTCACTGACATTCTCCGGTCAAAATCGGAGCCTTCCATGCCTGCTCATACGCCACTCTGCCCCAGGGCAGTGCCAGATCACCGCTCCCATGGGCTGCCGGCTCGTTCGGTGCCAGTGAGCTGGGTGAGTTTGGTGCTGGGGTTTGTCACCGGGCAGCGGGCCCCTGGGAGTAGAACTGGGCCCATCCCGTCTGGAGCCGAACTGGTGAATCCAATGCGGCCAGTCAAAGGGGCTGGGCTACACTTTGGCCTGTTGGCTGCTAGTCGCCAGGGAGGGGGAATTGATTGGGACAGGTTGTTCCTGGGGGGTGTGGGGTGGGAAGCCCCAGTGGTGGGTCCTCCTGGAGCACACGGCCAGGTGCCCAGGGGCCTAGCCCAGAGAGCTGGTCAGAACTGGGAAGCGGCCAGATGCCCTTCAGAGGCCTGGAGCTGAAACCAGAAAGTTAGGACTGGGTTAAAAGACGGTGTTGCTGTTGGTTGACTTGCTTCTTTAAGAAAATAAAGCTCCTTGCAAGAGATGGGGTGTGGCCACATGTATTTTGGAGCTGGGGAGAAGCTCCATACGGGGTTTAAGCAGTGGCCTTGGACTCCGGAGATCTGTGTTCAGTCCTTAGCTCTGCCCCAGACCGACTCCCTGTGTGAGGCTGAGCAAGCCACATCCTCTTTCCGTGCCTCAGTTTCCCCATCGGTAGAATGGGGATAAGAACCTTTCCTATGTTTGCCTTGCCTATAGATTGTAAGCGCTTCAGGGTACAGACTGTTTCACCAGCTGCGCCGCGCCTGCCACAATGGGGGTAGGGCCGGTAAGCGCTACTATAATACAACGAGCAATTGTTTTCCAAACTTAAGATACCCTCTAGATAAAGTCCTTGGTTCAAGAGGAACTTGGCTTAGAGTGTCAGGGCTGAGTGCTACAAACCCACCAGCCTGTGAGGCAGGGGCTTCCCCAGGATCAGGGGAATGAGACGGGGTCGCTAAGGGGGCACAGGGAAGGCGTTAAGTGTCTGAAGTAGAAGGCTAGGGCTTGTTTCTAGGCTGGGTAAGGACTGGAGTCAGCTCCCAAGGGAGGCTGTGGGGTCCCCGGCCCCGGTGGTTTTTAAGAACAGGTAGGACAGACTCTGGTCTAGGGCCTGCCTCTCGAGGTCCCTTCCTGCCCGATGTTGCTGGGATTGTACGGAACAGCTGCGCCGGGCCCAGCTCGTGCGGAACGGTTTAGGCTGCCCCGTGCGCGGGTGCTCACGCCGGATTCAAAACGAAGAACAACCGGGAAGGGAAAGAGAAGGCGCCCAACCCTCTATCGAAACTCAGACGAGGCCGGGCTTGGGCCCCGGGCAGCTGAAGATCTACCGAGCTCCCTTCTTCCGAACGCTGAGTTTGCTTCACTGGCAACGTTTCCAAGAGGGTGAAACCCTCCGAGACCCTCGGAGATCTGCCCACCTCGACCGGCGGACACGGGGGCCGGGGATCAGCTGCAAAGAAGGAGCCGCTGAGGTCGACTGTGGTACCACAAGCTAAGCGTGCTACCCTGGACACCCCTGGGGCTGTGTGGGAGGGGGGCACAGGGAGGCAGGAAAGAGACTAGAAGAGGCAGCATTTGGCAGGAGATGAGGCGACATATTGTACAAACCCACTGGGGACCCAAACTGGCTCGTGCTTGTCAGGGAGAGCAGACGGCTTTAACCCTTCAGGTGCTGGAGCGGATGCAAGCCTGACTTTCGAAGCTTTTTACGCTAAGACGCTGGAAGCCTGAATCGTTGCCTGGAGGCCTCAACAGAGATCAGGGCCCCCGTTGGGCCGGGCGCCGCCTAGAGACAGAGTAAGAGACAGTCCCTGCCACAAAGGGCTCACCCGCTATACAAGCAAGAAAGACAGACAGACGGTGGGGGACAGGCAGGATTATTATCCCCGTTTTACACACGGAGAAACTGAGGCACAGAGCGATGCAGACACTTGTCCAAGGTCCCCCAGTGGCAGAGCTCCCAAGTCCTGCTCCGGTGCTTTAAACACTAGCCCACCCTTCCTCTCTGGA